ATATTTTATCACTTAATATGTAGCCAGTTATATTTACACATAAAAGGAAACTCCACTTAAAATAAAAATGTAAAAAATAATATAAAGGTTAACATAGCATATATAATTGCTACACACCCTTTTGTAATTTAATGTTATCTTTTCAATTAAAACTGCATGCTCCATAATGTTCTAAAACTGTCCAAAACAGAAGGCCACCATAAACGTCACTTCCTGCTTCCGTGATTGGCTGCCTGATTTTTCCAGAAGACTACGATACAAGAAAAATGTTAGGCATCCCTTGCAATGGGAATTTCATTTTTGGTGAGATACTTCCTAAGGGTTAATTACCACTAAGGAATGCAGACACTGCACCTTTTCTCATTCAAACACAGAAAGTCCACTAGTTGATTATAATCAACCCAGATTGCAAAGGACATGCAGGATCAAACAGCTATTTCTTCAGAAACAGGTAGGAATTAGTGATGAGCCTGGGCAGTTGGTGCCACAACTGCCACCACTGGTTGAGCCGGGAGAGGGGTGTGGTGATCTCAGTTTTGAGCATTTGTTGTTGAACTCAGGAGAGCTGGGTTCACACTAATCCCAAGCTCCTCACTAGTAGGAATCTGCAGCAAGGTTTGTTAAAATCCTTGCAATGTACATTGGTCACCCAGAGGGGATTGATTTTTTTCTCAACAAAAGTGGAGTCATTCTTTAAAGGGGCAGGTAATCTAGTAAAAATACATGGGTTATCAAGAGATGCCATTTCTTCCCCTCCAGTCGAAGAGCCTCTTTACAATACTGCCACGTAGCTAAGCATGATTCCTTTACTGAGAGAACGTGAGGTTGTGTGTAAAGGGAACTCATATTGAGAGAAACATGGAGGTTGCCACTACTTTACTTTTGAAAATGTAAGTTGCCTGACTGTGATGCTGATTTTCTTGCTTGCTTCAGTACTTTGAGTCACTTACCTGAAACAAGCAGGAAGATAAGAACGTCTAATTCTCTCTGACCTTCCTGATACACATTTGTGTTGGGTTAGTGACTTGAAGAATTCAGCAGCAGGGGCTTGGTATTTCTTTCATGACATGTTTACTTAAAAAAATACTCTTTTTTTTAACTTTGTTTAAGCAAATATTTTCTTTTAACGCAAAGCCTAAGTAGCTAGATTATCAGCTGTATGCTATGTGATTTATTTCTGAAAGATTTACAGCTTTACAGGAAGTCAATATTAAGGTAGTGGCCAGTTGTGTGAACCTAGGAAAGGTAATATTTTTTTAGCAATAGTAAAATAGTTTTGTGGCTACTGTTCACAAAGAGATACAAAACAATGTTCTGCATTAAGGAAATGTAAATTAAAATAATGAACAAATAAATGTTTATTTTAACACATGCTTGTCAAACTTGTCTTTCTTACATATTTCACTAAAATCTGCTTTGCAGTGTATATTGAGTGTGACATGTAACTTACGTTATGTCAGCTGTTCCTTCTACTCTTAGCATGAAATGTCATTACAAGACTAAACTACATATGAGCATTCAGAGTTCATCCTACTGACTACCATTCTGCCTTGAAACAATAGTTTTGATTGGGACAAGGCTTTAAGAATTTAACAGCACAGCACTTATTGGAATTATTTGGAAATGGAAGTGAAGTGGGCTATTCTATTTCCATCTGTAGGTAGGATGGGCACAAGCTGTGGAGGGATATTTGTTGTATGCACATTGTATATAAAAGGGGGGATATGGCAATTAGTACAAAAAATATTCTGAGACCAACTGGATCCAGGTAATTCCTTCCTGAGACTCATGCAATCTCCTGCAGGCGAGAGGTGCTAGATAATACAATGACAGGTGCCACTGCCTGCAGCTGTTTGCATGTAATTTCAGAGGCTGCAATAACCTGTGGACAATCACATTCAGAGGCAAACAGTTTGTGTCCAGGTGCAATCATCTGCAGTTAGTCACAGGCTGCGTGATTACTTGCAAACAGCTGCGGACAGTGGGAGATGTAATTAGATTATTATGCACCTCCCATCAACTGGAGATTGCATGAGTCTCAGGGTCCATTCTCACCTGAGCGTTCAGAGTAGACTTCAATGGAAGTGCCTAAAAACACACTAAATGTGTGTAACACACGTTTTTGCAATCTTTTTTGCCTGGTAACTAGCTTTCCATTGGCTAAAAATTAAAATAAAATAAAACACTCAAGCCTAAAATGCTTGCAAAAATGCCAGAATAAACACTAAAAAAATCCAAATCCAAATCCAAAATCACAACCAAAGACTTTTAGCTCAAATGTGAAAGGGGCCCCATAGAGGAATTCATGAAACTCAGCATTTGCATTTGATGTACTGAAAAGTGGCGCACTCCCACTTGAAACTATTGTTGGGTAGCCAGAGTGTCTCTGAAGACCATTAATATATGAAGGGTGTGCCAGATGGGACACAACTACCAATAAAAATATGCTCAGTAGAAGAGGAGCATAGCTGAAAATGTTAAAATATTCTTACTCAATACGGTTCTCGCTATTTTTCTTGCCTATTCTTGCTATTATTATAAAAATACAAATAACATTTATATCAAGGCCCACACTCTTCCTTATCATCACTGCAATTCTCCACATTACCATGTTCAGCTTCTTGACTAACCCTTCTCATTATACCACTGTTTTTTTTTTAAATTATTGTTTAAATTCCTACATATCCAGGGTGACTGAGACCCTGTAATTTCGAAGAAAATTCTGTATTCTATAGGATGCAGCACAACATCCTGTCTCCTAGCTGGCTCTAACACTTGCAATGTATTTTTAGGATTACTGTGGTCCTAACCAATCTGTTGGCAGCTTCAGCATTATTACAGAGAACATCCCATGTGGCACTACAGGAGTTACATGTTCCAAATCTATCAAGATGTTTCTTGGGGTGAGTATCCCAGAAATTCAATATCCTGGCTGGTTTTGGAAGTTTCTGCAAAATCCTTAGCAGGGAAAGAATCATCACTGCATTTCCACTTTTTGCAGCCAAATTGGGATAACATCTATTTCATATTTGTTACATGTTCCCATTCACATAGCGTAAGCTAAAAAAAAGGAAATAAAAAAATGCTTCTTACAATTTAAATTGTTTTAACTTGGTTTATGGGTTTAAGGGTTAACATTTCTTCGAGCTTCTATTTCTTTAAAATGTTAGGGGGGCTGTGAGGGGTGTAAGGTGGCTATCCATTTGTACATTAATGAAGCTTATCAGATAAACACAATCCTCAAATTTCAAGTCCCAAATCTTATATAAGGACAGACCACTGTGAAAGGGTTAAAAAATACCTGGAATCAGTCATCTTGCCTGATTTAACAAAACATCTAAAAAGGTTAAAAAAAATGTAAAAGTTATTTTTCAGTATGCTGTGTAAATAGGAACATATAACACACGGGTTTTCTTACATTTTACTGCAAAAGTGGAAATACACTTTAAAGCTAAACTCCAGTATATAAAAGAAATGACGCTCTGAATTCATTATTGAATCTTCAAATTAGGGATGTCCCGATGCCACTTTTTCAGGCCCAAGTACAAGTACAAGTACATCCCCTCATGTACTTGCCGATACCAATTACCGATACTTTTTCTTAAAGGGACAGGTGACTTTAAATGATCCATAGTACAACTACATGTTATGTACTATGGATCATTGTTTAACCTATTAATGTTAGCAGCGGAGAATTGTAACTCTATTGCTGGAGTGTAGTGGAGGTGTGTGCTGTATATATGTACTACATATACATTACACACGTCCAGTACACTATAGCAATAGATTTACAGCCAGCCCCGTCCCAGCTTCCCTTACTAACAGTTTCACTCCGATCCCTGTTGTCTCACGCGGTGCCTGTCGTAGTCGGCGCTGGGCAGGATGGCTGCATCGCATCTCAGTGCTCAGCTTGTGGGAGGCGCTCACAATTCTGCCCTGCTAACATAAATAGGTTAAATCATGATCCATAGTACATATACAGCACATACGTCCAACATTGCAGTAATAGAGTTACAATTATCCCCTGCTAACATGAATAGGTTAAATCATGATCCATAGCACATAACATGTAGTTGTACTACAGATCATTTAACCCATTCATGTTAGCAGGGGATTGTTGTAAATCTATTGCTGCAATGTACGGGAAATTTGTGCTGTATATGTACAGTACATATAGATATACAATTCTGCACTGCTAACATGAATGGGTTAAATGATCCATAGTACAGGGCTACATAT